CGTTGCCTGGTTCGCGAAATCGTTTCCCGCCAACAAATTCCTTTGGGGGTCTCGTGCGCGGGGTTAAGGCGCGTATGGGGAAGATCTTAAAACGGGAGGATGAGATACGGGGTATATGTTCATATATCCGAAGTTTCATGGTTTAGGCGCGTATGGGGGGAGATACCAAAACGGGAGGATGACACACGGGGTAGGAACATATATCCGAAGTTTCAGGGGTCCCGTACGCGGGGTCTAGGCGCATATGGAGAAAGAGCATAAAACGCGAGGATGACACATGGGTTAGGGACATATATCCAAAGTTTCAGATCCCAGCTTTCCTGGTTGCCGAGTTGAAAGTGGGTGACAAAATGCACTCGCTTTCCGAACACACACATACACACAGACAGCCTCCCGACAATATGTGTTTTTGCTGGCTGTAGCAGCGCTGTACAGCAAAAACGCGTAAAAACTATTCATTGATTTTTTTCGATGATTTTTTGCTGTAACGAAAACTACTAAAAAACGCCCTCGTCCACTTTTCTCTTTTTTTTCGGAGAACTTACGCCAATTTTTCGCACTTAACTGTTTTCGGAACTCTAGAAACTTTCAAGTTCGCATTTCGGCGAAAGTACAGCAGCTCTTGTAAACAAACCTCTTGAGAGCTTGCATTGCAGCTTTTCCTTCGTTTAGTTGCAAGAAATCCGCATTCAGTGTTAAGAGATAGGGCGCTCGATTGGTGTAGTAAGCTCGTTCAAAATTGTCCATCAGTAAATTGTACTAAAATTTAAATAAAATTTGAAATCGGATAAAAAAATTCGAAATGTACAAAATGATAAAAAAGTTTCATGAGAGCTGCAATATTTTAGTGAGGTCCTTCGAACACACTGAAGAATTCACTCGAAATATGAGAAAATTTCATTACCAAATAGAATTTCTCGGTATTCCGGGGCAAAAGTACCAATTTACCATCGAAACGAGTCAACAAATTGTAAAAGGAGTGGTTTTCGCAATAGCAGATTCAAGACGAATTTCG